TTTCACATGAATAACATTGTGGTTTCAACGTTCAGCCATATTTTCAAGTCCTCACCCCGTCCCCCACCCCCCATGGCAGTCACTGTCCATCAGTGTAGTAAGATGCTATAGAGTCATTACTTGTCTTTTCCCTTCCCCGTAACCTACCTATATTATAATTGTTAATTATAGTGCCTCTTAGTCCCCTTCTCCCTCCCTCCCCACCCACCCTCCCCAACCCCTCCCCTTTGGTAACCGCTAGTCCCTTCTTGGAGTCTCTGAGTCTGCTGCTGTTTCGTTCCTTCAGTTTTGCTCTGTTGTTGTACTCCATAAATGAGTGAAGTCATTTGGTACTTGTCTCTCTCCACCTGGCTTATTTCACTGAGCATAATACCCTCTAGCTCCATCCATGTTGAGGAACTTTTTTTTTTTCTTTCTCAGAAGTCTGTAGTGATGAGTCAGACCAAGTTTCCACCTTGATGAAGCTTACAGTTTATTTCTCAACATTGTCATGTTCATAGTTCAAAATCTCTTATTTTTCTTTACTTCCCTTTTTTGCCTTAGTTCTGTCTCACAGGAAATTATCCTTATTCTTTTCTAAGACAGATCTTTATTTTCTTCTTATCTAGCTTTACTAGAACTTTAATCCAACAACCATTTCTTGATCTACTGTGGTTCCTGTCTGTATCCTCACTAGATCATTTTTTTTTCTTAGGAAAAATTTTCTCCAATATTCCTAAAAAGAAAACTACAAATAAAGCTCATGTGAATGTGCATTTCTTTCTCTTTCCTTCCTAATTTTCATACTGGTTTTCAATCTGGCTTTTATACCAAGTCTATTTTAAATAGCTCTCTTTTTAACATGACCTACTAGCCTTCTCTTAGCTGTTTTTTTCTTGAACTCTGAAGAATTTTTTCTTAAAACATGTCTTACATGACACTATTTATGCCTACTTCCCTTTTGATTTTTTATTATAATGTGTCATCCTTTGCTTTTAATTTCATTTCTTCACTGGTTTCCTCAACAAATACTGGTTAACTGCTTATTGTGTATTCAAGTGCAGGTCGTGCAGAATCTGTAGAGAGATACTAAGATTCTGTTTTCTGTCTCCTTCACTAACACCTCAGCCCCTTTCTCTTGGCAATCTCAACCCCTACAAATCCTAATTTATATCTTCAATCATAATATTCCATTGAATTTCATCCATGTAGTCACACTTGCCTTCTCTTCCTCAGGTTCCTACATGTTCCTCGAATTCCGTGTTTCAGACAGATGTTACTATATTCATCTAACGCTTTCCTTTAAATTCTATGTATCTGCTAACATCACCTTTTAATCACTAAGGTTTTAAGATGTAAAGTGATCTTCGTTCTATTCCTTAAACGGACTTCTGATTTTTCTCCTCATTGCTACCACTTGCTTCCATTTATTTTACTTCATTCTTGGAGAATCATACATAAATGTTGACTTTTAAAACCACCTTTCCAAAAAATCCTTCCTCATCCTCTAACAAAGTTCAGACTCTGGGGTTCAATCTTCTCTAACAACCGCCTCAATCTTATATTCCATCAAATCTTCTACTGCCTGATTATGTGCCCTCTGTCCTTAGGTATTACCTTTCCTACTGGTGTTTTTGACTTTCACACCTGCATGACTGTGCAAAGGCCATTCCTGGCCTTTATGTTTACCTTTGCTTTACCTGCCATACTTTATGTTTACCTGCCATACTTTATGTTTACCTTTGCTTAAAGAGTCCCATCCATCCTTCAAGGTCCAACATAGTGCCACATCTTTAGATCCTCTTCATCCTTCACCCCTGCAGATATAATCTCTCTCTCTCTCTTTGAAACACAGGAGAATATTCTATTTCTTTTGTCATTCACCTTATGCTTTGTTGTATCTCATCTCACCTGGAGGTTTTGAGGTCCTTGAGGGCAGAGGCTTGTGGCATTCCTACTTATATTCTATGGGATACTGAGCACATCACCCTACTCAAGAACCATATGTTATAGGAATGAATTAGTTGAGAAGATCTCTCTCTCTCTCTTTAAAAGTGATTCCTTATCACTAAAGTGCACTGATAAAGTAGTAAACTATATATCCTGGCTAAGTGGTCTTCAAGAGTACAAAGTTATTCCTATGGACGTAAATAATTTCTTTCTCTCTCAAAATCCAGTTATTATGTTAAGGGAACACCTCCTCTGAGCCAGGCACAGGGATCAGGGTACTAAGTCCTTCCTCTGGAGAAGTTAACTGTCTTTGAGTCTGACATGCCTGCAAATGGTTATAGTGTAGAAGAAATTTTACCTGGGAACTTATGTGAAAAAAGATACTCCAATAGAAAAATTACTAAATAAGGAATGGGTTTATAAGAATACTTTTGTATTCTTTATGAAACCTAAAAAAAAGTTTATGAAGATTCTGTATGAAACCTAAAAAAAGTAGTTTCCATCTTAATGTCTCCCTGGAACTTAGGATAACAAATACAATGAAGGGTTTTCCTGAGCAAGTCTCAAAATTATAAAAATATTGCAGAAATAGTGTATTTATTTCCCACAAAGCTACTTAGGCTACCTACAATCCAGTGTCTTTGATCAGGACTGGAATTTTGAATCTCAAGTAAGTATAAGATACATTATTGTAAATAGCATTTGTAATATTATAAATAATGAAATAATAAACAGAGTTTAAAATATATTTAACATTTAAAATATTAAGATATTTTAAAAACATGATGAAAGGAGATTCAGTGTTTCTTTTTGAAAGAAGGTTTTTAGTGAGTAATGCCTGCATTAAGAGAGGTGATCTTTTTTACAATGCATACATTGCACGTGCTTATGTAAATGTTGGCTGAATCATGACAGTTGAAGAGTCCATCTGCCTATCAAGTTTTATGAAATAGGGATTTTTGAAATTTAGCTTTGGAAAGAAAAGGCTAAATATAGAAGAATGCATGCTACTCTAAGGAATTTAAAATATTCAAGTGGGCAACACAGACATATTTTCTAAAAGTTAATTAAATTATACAATGATAGGGAGTTCAGTAATTATATAATTTTTAAATATTGATTTTGTTTCTAGGTTTTACTTCCTGTTAGCCCTCTGCTCCAATTCAACCCAGACAAAAAAAAAGGATACATTCTTTATGATTAGAAAGAATCTTTTGCCATTAGACCATGCTAAATTGATAGTTTTTATAGCCTGACAAGAGACCAAGTCATCGTTACCTGGAGGGAAGCACTTAAATCATCTGAAGATGGCTTTTCAGTTCTGAAGGAAACTTGACTGCTAGAGATCCGAAGTCTATTCGCCAGGTGGCAAGGGTTAGTTGTGCTGTAGAACTGACAGTTTCTACCCTCATGGAGGATAGATTTGACTGGGAAATGTATAGAAGGAAAGCTTGTCAAGGAAATTGAAGGGGCAGAGCTGATAAATTCTAAAGGGAATTCTAACGTGGTCCCCAGATTGAATCATAAATGCTTATATTTTATGGACTTACACAAGTGTGCAGAAGATAAAGAGGAAGAAACAAAAGAATGAGCAAAGAGTAGGTGTGGGAAGAAAATATATCAAAAGAGGTATAAAGACCCTACATCTTCTCCAGCTTTTCACTTGTTGAGTTGTGCATAAAATACCAATTTTGGGAGCAATTTTAGTGATGACTGAAAATTTTAAAATATTTCTTTAATGGTGAGTCATGTAGCCTGAGTATTTTATGGCATTAAAATTTCAGAATTATAGGAAACAATTCAGTAACAAACAATGGAAATTCATTTTTGTGTCTCTCAACTGGCTGCTGCAGTCCAGTCTCAGAGAGGATGTCTATATGCAGTTCCTATGGTTCTCTTATAAAAAACAGATAACTGCTAAGAAATGAGTTATTGGAGGGTGTGAGTTTGTAATGAGTATGAAGTGGACATGTAGTCATAAAGGGATTTATACCCTCCAAACCAGCTTATCATTCATATATAAACTTTTGCTGCTTATAATCCATTGCTCCATATGAAAAACAAATTGGTGTAGATGAAAATATGTTCTTGAAGGCTTATTTATATTTTAAATAAAAAATTGTGATCATTTAGGCTTACCCGCCATTACTTGGAATGTTCATATTTTGATTCAATATCAACCTTTTTGCACTGATATTGTCTATAATATATCCTAATCACTCTTAAAGTGAGGTAGACTCTGAAATTAGTATTTGCTCCTGCTACTCCAAATAATTTATCTCTTTTATAGTGAGTTAGGGCTATCTATGCCCAACCTCAAAATATAGGAAACAAAAATATTTGCTTGAAATAGTACTGACAGCTAATGCTCATATCATAGATACTGTTTTTCAGACCCATTTTGTCTTATGTATGTTAATTCACTTAAGCTTCAGAACACAACCACATTAAATAAGGACTATTATGTCTACACTTTGCAAGTGAGAAAAGTGAGGAACAGAAAGGTTAAGTAATTTTCCTGAGTAAACATGGCAAGAAAATTTCACAAGCAGTATTTGAACTTGAGCAGTCTGACTGCTTGCATTCCCTAGTCTCCACCTCCACAGCTCAACTTTTGGTTGAGCCAAAGGTGGAGTAAGTAGCTAAGTTACTCCAAAGCTATATTTGAATATGAGTATTTATTAGCATGGGTATCCCTTCCTTACTAGATTATGAGCTTGTAAGTACAAGAACCATGTTTTATTAACTTTGTCATATATAGTGCTCAATAAAATTTTTATTACCCCTGAATTACAGCTTATTATTGCATTGAAATCCTCTGTCTAGGAGACTTCTATTTTGAAGTTGTTGGTTTTACATCCACCAAACTTTTAGATCTGCAAAACAGAAAATCCAGTTGTTAACTGTAAGCAGGTTATTGTATTCATGATTCTCTTGTTTCTTAACTATATCTAAGAATAAAAGAGCATGAATGAAGCAGACTATTTTTGATTGATACAGGATAATTTTAGAATCTTGTTACCTGATTGAAATTCTTTTCTTTTTTTTCTTTTTAATACTCTTTCTTATAGGGTGCTGCTTTAATTAGAATGCTGGCTAATTTTATGGGCCATTCAGTATTTCAGAGGGGTTTGCAAGTAAGTAATTACTGTTCATTTTCTCTTACATTTTTCCTTGTCAATATATTTATTTTAAAGATAATTTCACAGTTTCAGAAGTTGTTAAATTGCTGAATTTGATGGAAAACCTTAAGATAAGTATGGTAAGCAGTGTCTTTTGATACGAGAAATGGAAGTGGTAGATAGGATACTCACTGCATCAACTGATAAAACTCAAACTGTTATGCATTTTAGATCTGTTTAATATTCTTAATGTTACTCTAAATTAATAATTTTTCTGAATGCCTACTTCCATTTTTGTCCACTTAGAAGTTTATGTAAAGGGAAAACAAATTATGTTAACCTTACTGGAATTACATATTTGAAAAAATCTTAATGTTATTTTTCAGACATGAACATTTTATGTTGTTGTATGTTGATATAACAAATTGTTATTTGTTGCAAAGATATTTAAGTGCTTCTTAAATTAGAAAATACAGTATTTTAAATAAAGGCAAAAATAAGTTTTATAGTGCTGTATTTAGTGTATGAAATATGGAATATATATATGAGTAGAGTCTTGAACTCTTTAAAGCAAATACAAATACAGAAAAATAGAACTTTTATTCCATTGACTCTGTTGGAGTAAATCATGTTCCCAGCAGCTGTGATTGATGAATTATTTATGATGCATTCTGTTACTTAGAAGTGTCCTTTAAAGTAAATTGATGTTCACCTGAAATACAATTATGCTAAGACAGAGAGAGCAATCAATCTTATCTGTTCTTACTAAGCTTTTTATTTTGAAATTTAAATAAACTACATATAGGATCAGGTCATATTTTAGTAGTATAATTCTATCTTTATCCAAAATAAACTAAAAGTAAAATACAAAGCAAGAGTTAAATATCTTAAAACAAAGTCATATGTATCTAACACAACAAAGAAAAAATATAAATTTCTTGAAGAATCATTTCCCTTAGAAAATATTTTTACGGATTTGTTCCAGCAGGGGCTGAAATGTACTTTAATCAGCTTTTTCCATTAGGGAACACTTTCAGAATAGCTAAATTCCATTGAACCTATTTGCCGGGTGCTAAAATCTCTATTCTGATCACATAGTTGGGAAATCTTTATTTCTCAAGGAGTGTCCTCCATGAATATCAACTGTCCAGAGAAATGTCCTTCTTATTCCCACACCTTTGTTTTTCCCCACTGAAGTTGTAGCATGACAGTAACAGAAAATATCTGAGCTTTCATAAGGGCAACACAAATCGAATTTGATTTCCTGGTTGCAAGTTGATGTGAAATCATTTTCTGTATAAAATTTTTACTGTTTTTCCTCATCTGTGTGTATGGATTTACTTGGCAGATTGAATAACTCGAGTTACATTATTTAAAAAGGATTATTGTTTTGCATTTTCTTTATCCTGTCTTACTTTTCTATGTTATGCAAATATATCGGTTTTTAATATACCCTTTTCTACTGACCCAGTCTGTTCTGTTTTATCTGAAACAGTGAGAATATACCCTCTGACTCCCATTATATTAAACTTACATCTGAAGCCTGCATTAATGTGTGCCTTGATTTGGTTAATTTTCAACTGAGGGAATGTATGTTTGTCAACATCGCATTTCATTTGCCTTGTGACATCTCATTGATCAGATAGATCTGTATCCTTCAGTACTTTGCTTGCAGCTTTATTTATACTCATCACTCAAACTGATTTAGTGTATCATCAGCAGTTTGGATTAGTTTACAGTAGATCCTACAACTAGGTGATATATTTTCATTTCTTGTGCATGAAGATGTATGGGATACATTTTGGAAATGACCTCCCAAACAGATACTTCATGTCACAGGTGCTGAGTGGTCACAGAGTTGATATTAATATATTTCTTATCCACAAGGCTCTGGGGAGTCTTGGTTAAATGTTGAAAGAGCTAATCTGGACTATCAACATTTACCTCTGCTGGAAAAATCTATTAATTGTTTTTACATTAACCATGGCTCTTTCTATGTTGTCAAACGAAGCTTATATTTGCAGAGACCCAGTTAGATGTACAGATGTAGGCAATCCTAAATTGCAAAGAGTGTGTTTTTCATCAATTTTTTTTTCCTCCCTGCCTCCCTTACTTTCTTTCTCTTGCTCTTTCTCTTTCCTTTCCTTTCCTTTTTTTTAGTACTTGGAATTTGGCCCTCATTTTCCACATAGGAACAATATTAGAGTGGCAGTTTCTTCTGAAATTTGTATTCTTTTAAAATTTTTGTATCTTTATGACCCATCTTAAGGTCTTTTGGGAACAAGGCTAACATTTTTCCAAATACAACCACAAATATATAAAATATAATACATAAGACATAATATATATAAATTTAAAATAGAATATAAATAAAACATGATAGTTATAAAATAAATTATAAACAAAACATTTGGTTATTAAATATAATGAAAATAGTACTAAAGGTAGTAGGTTTCTGAGAAGTTTCTAGACCAGTTCACATGTTATATTTAACTTACAAAGTATCTGTGTGTCATTTCAACTACATTTTTGACATTTATTATATTTTGTATTGGAAATATATTTGAAGTTTCAACTTATACCTGTATTCTTCAATAGAAAGGAGCTCTAGAGACTTTTTGAGAAAAGTTTTGTTCTGAATAGCCATATACTTCATTTGATCAGCTGTTAGAAAGTCTAATAAACAATTTCATTCTGAATAGTCACAACTCTCCTTGGACTGGTCTTCTTGATATTTCTTTTAAACTTAATTCCCTTCTTTTTTGAATTTTGTCTGATGTTTAAATAGATAGTTCAGTCTTGCATAGTTTTTTAATAAGTTGCCTCAAAACTTCGTTTTTGTAAAGAGACTATATAAACTCATAAAAAGTTAGTCTTGCCTTCAGTTAATATGTCAGTTTCTGTTTTGATGTTTTAATTGAATGTGAGACTGAAAGTGAACCATGCTAGAACCCTTGTTGGGTTATGTGTGCCACTCACAAATAATATATTCTTAAAACAAAGGAATGTTTACATTTTTGCAAACCTACATTTCTACTGCTCTACATAATCCATTTCCTAAAATAATAGCTGGCATATTTTGGGAAGCATGAGGCAATGGAGTTAAGTAGGGAGAAATTCTCATTTCTGTTTCTAATGGTGGGCTTTCTAATAGTTACTAAACCTTTCTTGTCCTCTCACCTTATACTTATAAAATGCAAGAGTTGGACTAAATGCTCTCTAATATCTTTTCATTTTTCAGATTCTCTGAATCTCAGATTTATTTAATGCATTTTATTAGTTAGACAATTTAGGCTTGTTACTTTAATTTGAGACAGCTCTTTTAATTTTTTGGGAAAATTTGTAAACTAGATGTGTGAAAGTGAGTTGACTCGCTATTCTTGAATCTTCAGTTAATCATCTGGGTATTAAGACTGTATGACTTTCTATGTATATAGTACTGTTTCTATAATTGAACTAGACCAGCACTTGTTACAGAGAATTTTTGCTGATAATGTTTCTTTTTGCCAGTATTAAAAAACAACTTATATTTCCTTTGATTTTTAGTTATCTTTCATATTTTGTTATACTTTCACATTTTGTTCTAGATAATTCACATGTTTGTGATTAAGCTACAGTTGTCTGAGATGGAATTTTCTAAGGACTTATTTTTGAAATTTCTTGGTGATTTTCAGTGCATATGCTATCTTTGCTAAGGTCCTAATTTCTACTTGTATTTGTGAAATTGGAGTCATTTTTGTATGTATTTGTGACTGGAGTCAACTGTACATATGGGTCCAAAGGCATTGAGGTGTATTGGAGGTTGGCTGGAAGAGAATGAGCATCTCCCTTAATGAGTGTGTGCCCCTTAATGATTCAAACAAGGAATAACTAACTTTCTGAAAGATAAGAAGAGCTGCTTTTGATGCCATAGAGGCTCAGTGGAATTTAGACTTTGAAGGTCTCAATTTCAATCCTCAGCATCCCACACTTTCTTAGTAAATACCCTAATTTTCACACACAAAACCTAATAAAGCCATGAACTTACTTAAATTGTGTAATTTTACCACTCAGAATTTCAAACCACAGTCCTTTTCAGTTATATTGATGTTAAGGCTGCAAGTCATACAAGATTCTTTAGCATATTCATAGAAGATCTCTGGTTCTCTCACTGCACCTTCAGCAGAGAGTTGAAAGCACAAGGTCATACTTTTCTTTTTTTGTGATGTCTCCAATCTAGTCAGAAATAGCCATTCTTCTCAAAGACTGTGTAGTTTTCTATTCTACCTTAATTTTCTAATGAAACAGTCATTTGTTTTCCCAAAGGCTACTCTTCAATTTAGACAACTATAGATAACTCCAGACAGTGTTTTGACTCTCAAAATCATGGATTACCAGGATCTATTACCCATGTCCAGTGATACTGCCTCATTTAAGTCTAGTAAAGACAGGCAAACAGATTGTATATTCCCGTCTTTGATGGTCTGTCTCCTGGAACGTACCACTCCTGGTACATAACGCAGTAACAAAAACAAAACCATTTTAGGTATAGGTATATCAAGCAGAAAGGGATTTAACAGTGAGTAGATGAATTTTCTAAAACTGTTGGGAGGGTTAGAAGTATAAAGGTCAGAAGAGCTATTCCTAGACTTAAGAAAAATCAAGAAATTTAGGTGTCATAGGAACTAATCTCCATATATTCAGTGTAGGTCCAGTCAAATTTTGGAGAGAGTGAAATTAGATGGATTTTGTTAATTCACCAACTTTATCCAGAAGTCCTTTGAAACACTTTCTTTAGCTGGCTTCAATGACACTGGGTTCTCCTGAGGGTTGTATGAGGTCACTCCATGCTCAATGCCTGATACTGTAAGAGTTGCTGAATCCTTCAGCAATTCTTACATCTTTCATTTCCTAAGGTTCTTAAGTGCATATATGTTAATTTTCACCTACATGTAGCAATGGTTATACATATGATCAGTAAATTAGAATCTACTTCTTCTGCCTTGTTTTTATAATTTAAATATTCATTCTGCATG